ATCCCCCAGCCCCGCGGCCGGACCGACTAGATGGGTGTTACGTAGAGGATCAAAAGGCGAAGCCTTCGAAGCCTCTCGTCCCCTTCTTCCCGGAAGTGCACAGTAGGCTCACGCAGTCCTGGAGGGCACCTTTCTCTGCCCGCGCTGCATCCGCCTCCGCCCTCACCACCCTGGATGGTGGAGCTGCCAGGGGGTATGAGGCGATCCCGCAGGTGGAGCGCGCCATTGCGGTCAATCTTTGTCCGTGTGACGCCCCCGCTTTGCGCGGTCCGCCCCTTCTCCCGTCCAAAGCCTGTAGGTTTCTGCCTCCCTTGGAGTTAGAGCTTAGAAGGCTGCGGGCCAGGCAGCTTCCGCCTTGCACGCGATGGCCACCTACCAGCGCTACCAAGTGCAGGCGCTGGCCGAGCTGCACGAGGGTGGGTCTAACCCAGGCTTGTTACAGGAGCTGCGCACGGCGACCGACTATGCTCTCCGGACCACTAAGTCCGCCGCGTGCGCACTGGGGAAGACGATGTCCACACTTGTGGTCCAGGAACGCCACCTCTGGCTAACCCTGGCAGATATGCGCGATGTTGACAAAGTTCGCTTTCTTGACTCGCCCATATCCCAGGCTGGCCTGTTCGGCGACACCATTGGTGAATTCACCCAGGAGTTCAAGGTGGTGAAAAAGCAGTCGGATGCGATGGGCAATGTCATCTATCGGCGGGGCCGTAAGCCCGCTCCATCCCTGGCAGAGCCATCCACCTCCGCTGCTCCTCGGCGAGGGCGCCCGCCAACGGCCGATGCCCCGCCCCCGCCTCCGGTGAAGCGGGAGCGTCGAGCACGCCGAAAGCCGGTAGCCCCTCCTGCCCAGGGCGCCGCTAAGTCCGGTAAACGGACCGCGAAGGGTCCCTGAGACAGGCCATCCGGAGAAGAGGAGACTTGCTCTTTCCCCGCTGGAGGGCGGGGCCCATATTCCAACGGTACTTTTCAGTGCCACCAAAGTTTCGATCAAAGAGCATTTTTTCCCTTCCCCGGATGTGACAGCTCAAGCCTTTCCAGTCTGGGACGCGCTGCCTCCGCCAGCGGCTCTCAGGCGCTGGGGGGACGGTCTCCCTTCTCCCAGCCCCCAAGCCCCCTCTCAGGAGTCAGGGTGCGGAGCCAGAGCGAATCGCTCTCCTCCAGCTCTTCTGCGGGACCCTCGCGCTCCCCGGATCAGCACACCCGCTCCGCGCTGCCCCTCTTGCGGGTACGTCAACGATTGCTGCGATGACGTCATTAGCGAGGGCTCTGCCTGCCTGGTTAGCGCGGGCCAGCCCCTCGCGGTGGCTCATACGCACGATCAGACTCGGCTACGAACTGCAGTTCTCCAAAAGGCCTCCCAAGGTTCACGGGCGTGTATTTTACCAGGATCAATCCCCTGTCCGCCCCTGTCTTGCGAGAGGAGATTGCTGCCCTCCCGGCGAAGGGTGCAATCGAGCCGGTACCTCCAGCCAAGATGGAGAGCGGGTTTTACAGGCCGTACTTCATCGTACCCAAAAAGAGCGGTGAGTCACGGCCAATCCTAGATCTGCGCGTTTTGAATCGCTGCCTTCACAAGCTGTCATTCAGAATGCTTACGCAGAGGCGCATCCTCCGATGCGTTCGTCCTCATGATTGGTTTGCAGCCATAGACCTGAAGGACGCGTATTTTCATGTCTCCATTCTTCCACGCCACCGTCAGTTTCTGCGGTTTGCGTTCAAAGTTCGAGCATGGCAGTACAAGGTCCTCCCCTTCGGGCTCTCTCTGTCTCCGCGGGTCTTCACCAAACTCGCGGAGGGTGCCCTAGCGCCTCTGCGGCTTGCGGGCGTCCGCGTACTCAATTATCTCGACGACTGGCTGATTTTAGCCCACTCTCGGGAGCAATTGACTGCGCACAGAGACGAGGTGCTCCGGCATCTCCGCCTATTGGGGTTGCAGGTCAACTGGGAAAAGAGCAAACTCGCCCCGGTGCAGAGGATCTCTTTTCTCCGGATGGAGCTGGACTCGGTCACCATGGTAGCGCGCCTCTCCGGAGAGCGCGCTCGCCTGCTGCTGAACTGTCTGAGGGAGCTCGACAGCAAGTTAGTGGTCCCACTGAAATATTTTCAGAGGCTCCTGGGGCATATGGCTTCCGCTGCGGCTGTCACGCCGCTCGGATTGCTCCATATGAGACCACTTCAGCACTGGCTTCAAGACCGAGTTCCGAGACGCACATGGCATGCGGGCACATACCGAGTCTCTGTTACTGCGCTGTGTCGCCGCACACTCAGCCCCTGGAATGACCCCTCGTTCCTGCAGGCCGGTGTGCCTCTGGGACAGGCGTCCAGTCATGTTGCACTGGAGGACGCGCTTCTGTGTGAACATTCTGAATGGCAGCTTGTGCAGACAGCGGTTCAAAGCGCTCAGATCTAGGATTGGCCGTGAGCCACAGCTCTTTTTGGGTACGATGAAGTACGGGCTGTAAAACCCACTCTCCATCTCGGCTGGAGGGACCAGCTCGATTGCATCTTTTGCCAGGAGGACAGCAATCTACTTTCACAAGACAGGGGCAGACAGAGGGCTGACCCTGGTGAAATACACAGCCGTGAACGTTCGAGGTTACTAAAGTAACCCTTCGTTCCCCGAGGAGGGGAACGGAAGCACTATAAGAGGATTTGATGTTCTAAATCCACGTATGGGAGATTCGGTTCAGAAGCTACTCGTCTGAAGAGTATTAAACGGGCCAATTAAGAATGAATTGGCAGCGCAAGCCTGCGCAGGTGAGCAGCATATGCAATCAACTGAGTATATAAGCACACCTGGCGCCAGCAGACGCTATCCTTTTTAAGCTGAAGAGACTTTTAACAGCTAAGGGACAGTCATTATGGCGACACGCCACTCGGACTACTCCATATGAGACCACTTCAGCACTGGCTTTACGATCGAGTCCCCAGAAGCACATAGCACGCGGGCGCACACCGAGTCACTGTTACTGGGCTGTGTCACCGCGCCCTCAGCCCTTGGAACAACCCCTCGTTCCTACAGGCCAGAGTGCCTCTAGAACAGGCGTCCAATCATGTTGTTGTTTCAACAGATGTTTCCAGCACAGGCTGGGGCTGTGTGTTGCGGGCATGCAACTGCGTGCCTGTGGAAAGGAATTCAGTTGCATTGGCATATCAATCACCTGGAGCTGTTGGCAGTGTTCCTCACTCTCCACCGTTTTTTTTCCAGTGCTGGAGCAGCAGCACAAACTGGTCAGGATGGATAGCACGGCGGTGGTGGCGTATATCAATTTCGAGCATTTCAGATTGGAACAACACTTCAGCACTTTATGTTGACTGAGATTGTTTTCACTCCAAAGTTTGGAACTTACTGTGGAAAACCACATATTTCATTCATTCAGTCATGAAGGCTCTCAAAGCATGTGTCCGCGACCGAAAATTAAACCTCCAGTGGACAATAGCAGCCTCAAAAAGGAGACGCAGATTCAGAATTCCACATAAGGTGGTAATTAATTAGCAAATAGTAAGAAGCTGGCAGCTAGCTCTAAGCAACTTTCACATGGTTACCCGCTGAAGCTAAGCAGGGCTGGGTCCGGATGGATGACAGACCACATGGGAAAGCTAGGTTGCTGCCAGAAGTGGTGTTAGTGAGACCAGCAGGGGCGCTCAACCTGTGGTCTGTGTGAGTCCTAATGCCCCAGTTTAGGGACAGGGACTATACTGCTCAGTGAGCACTGTCTTTTGGATGAGACGTTAAATCAAGGTCCCGACCCACTGTAGTCATTAAAAATCCCAGTATGTTCTTTTAAAAAAAGAGTAGGGGTTTAACCTCGGCATCCTGGCCAAATCTGCCCACTGGCCTCTGTGTTTTATGGCCTCTTAACCACCCCCATACCATAATTGGCTTTATCACTCCTCTCCACCAATCAGCTTGTGTGTGGTGTTGGGTTTGCAGCGCAATATGGCTACTGTCCCGTCATCCAGTTGGATGCTGTACACTGGTAGTGGATGAGGAGATCTCCCCCCCCCCCTCCCCCCATCCCCAAAAGCCCCCCCCCCCCCCCCCCCCCCACCCCCCCAACCTGGTGTAAAACGCTTTGAGTGTCTAGGAAGAAAGTGTTATATAAATCTAAAGAATTATTATTTTATTATTAAGAACATTACAAACGTAAACATTAGGTAAGCATATCCTAACAACATGGCATTCAATAAAATAGCATTCAAACTCACATTATTAGCATTCAAGGTGTACCTGAGGTGATCATTGTCATAGTTTTCTATTGTTAAGTAGCAAGAAATGGAAGTCGCTTCTAAAATAGAAATTTTAGGTGTTTGTTAGGATAAAAAAATAAATTAATATGGAAAATATATATATATATATATTTTTGTGTGCTATTGCTTTTCGTCAGCCTAAATCAGCCTTAAATCAGCCCTCTGGCAGCTTGCACTTGGGTAAGGTCGTCACAGGAGGGAACTAAGAGGAGGGAACTAAGTGCTGCGTAATTATTGATTGTGTCGGGTATAAAGAATGTTAATTATCACTTGATGTCAACTAAAAACAGGCATTAGTTGAAGAAATTTGGAAACACTTGTATAGCTCGAGGACAGAGAACAAAACAACATAACTGTCCTTAAAAATACTGCAATAGGTAAGGCTATGGGCATAGCAGGCAGGTAAAACAGGCTGTAACCTTTACTTAATTATTTATACAGACCCCCAAACTACTGAAAAAGTTATTATTTATTTATTATTTACTCACCTTCCTATGTAAAACCTATTATGTGAGGCTTACTTAGCAAAAGTGGTTTGGATGGTCTGGCTCATTATAATCTTTCAGAGTTGAAGTTTAGTTTAGTTCAGTTCAGTGTGGTTTAATTTTCACTGCTGAAAGTCCAAACACTGAAGAGCAAATCCATCAAAAGTCCCAAACCAAGCAAGCCAGTGGCAAGGACCAAAACTTCACTAACTGACAAAAGTAAAAGTAAAAACATTGAAAGAAACCAGGCTCAGTTGGGCACGACCATTTCCCCTTTGGCCAAACTTTTTGTGCAGAGCTGCAGTGTAGGTGCCAGAGGCTCGAAAATGCTGGACATCCATTGTGGAGAAGCTGCAGGTGTGAGTAGGTGCAGGTCAATCCGGCGTGCCACAGTGTATCATGAAATTAGGTGGATAAATCCATAAATTTGCAACAATGTAATTTTAGATTTTTGCTTCTGTGTTGGGTTTCCATTGGTTGTCCGATGTAAAACCTGGGTTCTGTGCTAAAACTTTTTTTTATTTTTTATTTGACACAACCAACATCTGATGTTATAAAGTAATATTTATGAAACAATTGCTAAATTGCTAATACATAGGGGTGGATTGGTTTGTGCAAAATGGAGAATGCAGAATGTGGTCAGCACAAACTTCCTCTTGTGTGACTACAAGTCCCCTCATGAAAGCTCTGGTTTAAAAGATTCATTTTAAAGGCAGCGTGAAAGAACCTCAGCCCTCAAGGGCTTTAACAACATGAAGGCCGTGCTGCTTCTTCTCTGTGAGTTTATTGCATTTTATGGTTGTTTGAACTAATGATATTATTTATTGTTTTAATGGCACAACTATGTTGAAGGTCTGAATGTGTGTGCTATATTTCACAGATTTGCTCATGTGGTTTAAGGATGCTGAAATGTTAACATATCAACTAACAGATTTGGGTCAAAGTGTGACTATAAATTGTGATTTTGATGTAAAGGAGGTTTACTGGTTATTCCTGAAACTACCAGATCATCCAGTTCCGATATTAAGCTCTTCAACAACTGCAGCAACTTTTTACTCCAATAAAACTTTTAGACAGAAATTTTCAGTGCAGAGTAAACACTGTTTATTCATTCAAAATGTCACGACTGATGAGTTAGGACTTTATTACTGTGTGACCAAAGAAGCACATCCGAAATACAGCAACGGCACCAAACTGCACACTGAAAATGGCACCAACCTACACACTACTAGTAAGTGAGCTTTCAGTAATTTTAAAATAAGAATTTAAATGACTTTTAGACAAAATGTAACAAATAGTATGCTCCTTCAATAATTGCACAGTATTGTTTACAACTCCAGAGATTCAGAAGCCTACAGAGGCTAAGAAGAGCCCGAGACCATGGCAGATTATTAGCCTTACGTCTGGACTGTTGAATTGCATTCTGATTACTGTGATCATCGGTGAGTTCTTTAATATGATGTTTTTGGGTTTTTTTATTGTTCAAATAAAGAGACTTTAAAATTTAAATCTGATTAAATGTCGCTTTAAGGACTAGCAAGAAAAAAGAAGAGAACAAGAGACAACTTGAACCAATCTCAAGATGTGCACCTACAACAGCCTAAAGTTAATCTTCAAGAACCACAAAGCTCAAGTGAAGTGCAGGTAAATCAAATCTATCAATGGTTTACATTACATGATTTAGCATGAGTTAGGGAAAAGTGAAGTACTAGCATATGCAGTTTTAGTACAATGAAGGATGACAACATTTAAAAATGCATATGTTAGTATACTAGAGGTGTGACAAGATCTGGGATCTCAAGAGACTAAATCGTTACAAGGTTTCTCGTCAAGGAGGAAAGTTTTCTTTTTAGTTGTGATGTTTTAATTTGATTAAATTAATTTAGTACTGAAGATTGAAGGCAGGATTGGATTTGAACCGCAAATCAAGTGTTTTGCACACAACTGGCAACTTGGGCTTGGCCGAGTGTGCCGTAACCATTTTTTCCACCGGAGTTCAAAGGTTGAAGTGTCCAAAAGTAAAGGCTGCTACAACTACCACCACAAAAAATAATCATGAGATGAAATAGCATTTTAAATATGCTTTAAGTCATAATCATCATAAACACAAATCGAAATAAGAGGTGAACTATTCCTATTTCACTCACATTATTGAAGTGCTGTAAAGAAATGAAAACGCATTAATCAAACTATTACTGTACCATCATGTAGAAGTTTTAGCTGCATTTGAAACAGGATAAGCCATACACACATGGCTGTTTGAGACAATTCTCTGACATCACTGAGTCAGTAAAGAACACACATCTTCTTTGAGTGTGCGCACAAACACAGTGAACTCCTGGACACAAACACACACCCATCATCATTGTCATTATTTCATCTAGAAAACTGTAAGTTTTCTTTTTTATTGTATGTGAGGTATCAAACTCCATTAAAACAGCTCTCTCCTTTTAGTTTGTCCAGTCAGTAGAGTTTATAGCAAATTATTTAAACCTCATATTTAACTTAAGTAGTTTTACATTTTGTAATTTATTTTTTTGCTCTTTTTGGTTGAATAACATACTATTCACTATTCATATATTTTTTATTGAGGATTCCAAAAAATAGTATAAAAATCTCTTCACGTTCTCGTGAACCCAATCTCATGTCTTGTCTCCTAGAGTAAGGGTCTCGTCATACCCCTACTGTACACTAACTAGATTGGATCATAGTCTTTCTCACATATGAATTAAGAGTAACGGTTATTCTTTGTTTGTTGTTTTCAGTATGTGACAGCACACTTTTCTTCACCATCTAGAAGGTTTCAGCCGAGTTAAACAGCACAGCTGCCAAATCAGAGAAAAAATAACCATATCTGACCCAGTTTAGTTTCATTTCTCATTTTATCTCTTTAATAATCATATTTCGATATTGTTGTGCAAAGAGTTTATATGTAAAGCATAAGTGAAAACAAGAAGATAATTCATGTGTATCAAATCCTTTACATGCAGTTGCTAAATGTGTCAGTAACCTACACAGCAAGAAATGCTGCTCAGTTCTGTAATTAAAATGAATGTTATTTGTGCTTTGCATAAATGTTGAGTTTCTATGCATGCAGATGTTGTAGGTGTACGGTGAATAAAAATCAAACAAATGAACAACATCCTGACATTCAAGAGGGTTAAGCGAATACACTATCAGAAATTGTTCAGATTTTATTTAAAATGTCTCAATTTGTGTTTCGATTAGACACAAATCATTTTTGGTGTTGGCCAGATTGCCTTATTGAGATAACATGCTAGTTATCTAAAAAAACTAATTTGTGTTCATAAATTTTTACATAACTGTAACACTTCATAACTGTTTTTTTTATGACTTTTGTTATTTTGGATTATCTTTTGCTAATACATTATTTAGTTTTGTAATGAGTGTAATGAATAGCCGGTCTGACTGTAGCCATACAGTATCCATTCTGTATTATACAGTTTGTGTGTGTGTTAAACAGTCAGTAAGCTGTTGTTTTGTTCATTAAAGCTGTTACAACACAATCTGTAGTTTATTATTTAATTCAGAAATTAAGATGTCAACATTTAGCCACCGGCATCCCATTCCAAACTGGATGATTTTGGGTGTTAGATTATAAAGCCAGTTGGAAACTGTAAATATGGTCTAATAACGTTATCATTAGCATAATTGGACAACTTCGTTCAACAGTAGCGTTTGCACAGGCTTAAAACAGTAAACAATGTCAGGTAAACAGCTCACCTGTGGCGTTCACACCTCTAACCTATAATTAGATTTCATAAAAAATACTTCACTGGTCTTGCAACTACAAGAAAAGCACATAAAGCCACAAGCACAAACAAACCACATGCTCTCACACACACTTGAAAACATGTCAGACTTAACTATTGTTAGTTATTTGTGCATAGTTTTATCTATAGACTATACCTTAAATTTCCAGGTGTGGTGATAATATACTAATAGTATATGGCTTTTTTTTGTTTATATAATACGTGATTTGATTATATAAAAAGTGATCTCCCCCCATAAACTCCAGGATGTAAAATTTATAAAAAGCAAAAACAAAAAAAAAGTTTCCATTTAGATTACAAGAGTAAAATATCCTTACAAATAATCACAAGAGTGGCATAAGGACTCATGTACTTAAGCATGAATTTTACATTTAGAGATTGAATTAGACATAAATTAGATTTTTTCTCAGTGAGATGAAATCCGCTTGTTAAGTGATTGATGTCACACAAAGCGGCTTCCGGGTCTAAGCGCTCTATCAAACTGTATAGGGAGAGTCATTAAATGGTAATAATAACCGTTTATAAAGCGATGCAATACTTTCGAAAATCACAATCTCAATATATACATCCATGCCTAATATCAGATGGCCAGAAAGTGATAAATTTAAAAAAAAAAAAGTTCAAATATTGGTGTCTGTGATGCAGCAAGTCCAGATACTGTTGTGTACAACATGATTTTATATAAAATTCACTTTAATGTGTGACATGACTAAAACACTGTCATAAACAAATAATTTCTCAATTTAAATGAGTGGCGGCTTGGACCTAAAAACAAGCAGATACCTGTTACCTGTAAGCATTGGCCAGAAAAGTCGTAACACAGACACTACTTTTGTTTTGCTTATTATTATTATTATTGTTATTATTATTATTATTATTATTATTACTGTTGTTATTATTATTAAGCAAACATCTAATGTGCTCTAAACAGTATTTAGTAAACATTATCATAAAGAGAGACGATCTTGATTAATATTGAGTAATTTTCATATATTGGGCATGTGGTTCCAGGCGCAATGCAACCATTTATTGCTAGTTTCAGTCTAATGCAAATATCAGTTTATTTTGAGACAACTGAAATAGACATTGACTGACTAAAATCTAGTGTAAAGTCAATACTGCAGGGATTTCTTTTTTTTTTTTTTTTTCAAAAATGGCATTAGTATCATGCACTTATGCATGTCTTAAATGTGTGTACATACTGCTTATTATGCACACAGGCAGGAACAGAAGCACACAAATATATTTATATTTAAAAATGTTAGAATTAAAATGTAAAAACTTAATATTGTGTACATAAATACAAAAACTGTTACCTCCTCCCAGTTTATTCATGAAAGTTTACATTTGTTTAATATTTGTATTATTATTATAACTTTTATTATTTCCTGTTATATACATATTTATAATATATTTGTGTTTGGTGCTAGATTTGTCCACCTGATGAGTTGATATATGCATATAGTGGCATAAGTAGGATGTGTGTGTGGATGTTAGTCATGGACTAAATTATAATGAACTAATTTATAAAATTAAAGCCTATATGGAGTTGATAGGCTCTATTTTGACGGTCCATGCGCATAGCGCAAAACCCAGGGCGCAAACGCTTTCAGGGCGCGTTTTTGCTAAATTAATCCTTTATATTTATATCCTATATCTATTCTTATTATATACTATATATATCCTTAATATATAATTTTTTTCATATGGAAAGATATTAGCCTATTGCTCTCTTGTGCGTATTAAGCAGTGCGTAAGCGAGGCGCAACTCTGCGCCGGAGTTTAGACCGGGTTAGTTTTGGTCTAATGAAAAATCTATTATAGATTCTCAAAATAGCAACGCGCCAGCAGTCCGCCTCAGAATGCCTTCCTTTTTAGACCAGAACGCCTATGGGCACAAAAATGAGCGCTAATGCATTTGCTATTTAAACAGAGTAGGGCAACGCCTCAAAACGACTCTTGCCAAGCTGAAACTACCAACTACCAAATATTTCCCAAATAAATAGCCAATTGGGGTTGACACCTCAGGTTCATCTCTTAGATGGTCTGCTACCGTGCAAAATTATTCCATTTCCTCACTCGTGAAGTGTTCAGTTTTTTTCTGCTGACAAATATCACCATATAAATAGTCAATGTGCTGTACATTACCAACTCGCTCTTAAAGGGAATGGGAGATGAGAATTTTATTAGTTTAGTGCATGTTATGCCCAAAACCCATAACTTATTAAGAGAATTTAAAAAATGTTTTTTAGACCTTATATTTTTTTGTGATATTAACCTGTCAGTTTAACATGCTGTGGTTCTGTCTCTTAGTCATGCTTTCTTTGCTTAAAAGAATGATCTGTACTGTATGTCTCTGCTCAGTAAATGACGTGTAATTCTTAATTTGAGTGTTTGTCTCTTCCCTGCAACAACACCTGACACCTAACATCATAAAACCTGCATGCATTGATTGGTTTATCATCATCATCGAAAAATAAATTAATCAAGTACATAGGGCCTGTACCACAAAGCCAGACTAGCTGGCTTGAGTTTGATTTTGCATCAATTCTGGGTTTTAGGTAACATGAAGGGATCTCAGCTTAGCTCAGCTGTTCCATAATATGGCAACAAAGAGTGCTTAAAATCAAGCTGCCTTTGTGTTACCTAAAACGCAGGATTGGTGCAAACTAAACTGACTAGCCAGCTAATCCAACTTCATAATAGAAACTTCTCAAATCAAACAAATATTTTAGAAATAAACAAGAACTGGATAAAACAGGCCTCGCTAATAAATACTGCTATTACTGATCAAATTAGAGCAAAGCAATTATAAAGACATACATAGCAAGGGACTTTAAATACAATGAACACTAAAATTAGAAAAAAAAATCTGAAATAAGTAAATTTTTATGTTTAAAATTTGAAGGATTTGTTGTTGCGGTTTTAACATGTTAGTAGAGCAGGACATAGTTTCACACAGGAAATCACTAGTCTCTCACAGACATCAATAGTCTCTCATCGGACATCACTCTGTCACAACATCACTAGTCTCTCAAGCTTCACACAAGACATTGCTAGACTCTCACAACACATCACTAGTCCCTTGCTTTGCTCTGTTGTGATCTTGATCTTTTTCAGGTTTAATTCAAGACTCTGGGCTAGCCATTTCATTATTTTAGTATTTTCAGTTTCAAGGCTTAACCCATTTGTTGAGTGACAGGGTGCATTGCACTGCATGATAATCACTGGCTGATTGGACAATGAATTCAGGGAATTAACCGGATGTTGGTGATTGAGCCTCTGATATATAATGTCTGATTTATAACATCCTGTAACTGTAAAAGAGACTCAACTTCTGCTGGAAAAAACACCCAGAAACCATGACACTTCACCGCAACCTTTACTGACTTCTGAACACACATTTGGTTTAGTCTTGACCAAGCATACCATAAGCTAAAAAATAAAATAAAAAATACCATCAAAAAAAGAAAAAAAAAAGCTAAATGTGGTGTTTCCGGTGATTAATACATTAATGCTTTTTTAAAACGTAAAAGAATAGACTGAATAAAACAAGTGGTGCTCACTTCAGAGCCACTTGGGCAGAGCTGAGCTCCAGCAAGGGGGAGCTTCAGCTCCAGCTCCTCCTTCCTCCACCTTCAATAGGGGTTGGGGTTAGAGGTGGGTTGGGTGTACGCATTAAAACAGCTAATAGGAGGAGGAGTTGGAGCTCAAGCTCCTCCTCGTTTGAGCCTAAGTGGCTCTGCAGCGAGCAGTGTCTCGAATAAAACTTGTGGTTAGATAAAAACTGCCTTCAGCTTTTGCTTAACGTGTGCATTTCCGGAAAGCTCTGAAGTGTGCATGGTGGTTAAACAAACAGCTGGTCAAAGTTTACAGTCCAGCGAAGTCAACAACATTTATGCACATCTACAGCTGCAAATGTAAAAAACATTTAAACACATCTGACCTCATCATTTAGTTTACTTTTTCTTTGTATCTTATAAAAATGTAATTAATGACATTACTCAGGCACACTTTTTTAGTGTGCCTGTCTGTTTTATTTACAGACATATATAATTAAACCTTAAAGTGAACAATTTATTTTGATCGAATTCCTTTCTCAGTTTCATAGTGGTATAACTTTTTTCACACCGTGATGGCTATAATTGGCATACATCTGCACAGCTTTGCGGCTAACACATCTAAATTTGTTTACATGAAGAAAACTGCAAGGGGATGTTTTTATAAAGTGTGTTACTGGTCTTACTCATGTAAGAACAAATCAACCACAAAGTCTCATGTGAAAGAGGGATAAAGGTTTCTCCATTATGCATGTGACAAATGTGAAATTGTGACTTTGGTAAATCAAATAAAATGGTTAGAAATGCTAATTATATCATCATTTCTTTTGTGATCTCATCCAGAGAGGTTTGTGCCAAATTATTAAAATAATTTAATGCAATTAGATTTGTAATGCATCTATAATGTGTAGTGGAATTTTGGATTATACTGTTTTGGAATAAGTTGGTTGTTCATACTGCTGTGGTGACCCCTTATAAATAAATAGACTAAGCCGAAGAATAATGAATGAATGAGTGTACTGGAATATCAGATCTTCATAATAAAACAATGACTATTGTTGGAATATCTTGCCAATTCAATACGTGTTCAAGAAAAAAGGTCTGGAGAGTTTTTTCTTCAATGCCAAAAATATTAGTAATTTATTAGATACAAATGAATAATTCGATGACAGAGCTCTGGGTTACATTACCCCAATGCAATACAAGAATTACATTCAAGAGGTTCGCAACTAATATATACATTTCCTGACTCCAGCATATGGATAATTACTGAATGAATTGAGCAGTCCAGTAGATTGGATGTTGTGGATTATTGTGGTCTGCTATTGGTGGACCAGGGGTCTGTTCCATAAACCAAATTTACAGAAAAAGCTAGGCTTATTTTGGTAAGTCAGGTTTATTAATGGCAGATTCGGTTTCATAAATAAATTTTACGATAGTTCAAACTCAGATAATCTGGCAACTTATGCTGGGAAACTAGCCTGGTCCGGGGCAGGTTAACACTCAGGCTAAGGCTTAAGCTCTTTGGTCTAATTTTAGAGGTCGTTCAGTTCTCGTTGCCATCTTAGCACACAACATAATCGATGCATCTACGCTCGACCTTCAGGGTTTCGCGACAGTAATGTGCACAAGCAGTTATCTCTAGATTATTTAAACTGAACTCAGATTAGTTAGATTAAATGATCTTCAACTTGATGTTATGAAACCAATTTAAGCGTGGACTTTTAGTTTGGCTCATTGAAGTCAGGTTTTTGTTAACTGAAATTGTTTACTGACATGAGGGTGGGATAAACTATTCATCACATCAGAGGGCTGTTTCATAAAAGTGGTTTAAAAAAGTCAAAAACCTGACTTCAATTATTAATGCTTATTT